ATGATGCTTTTCACTTCTTGCTGCCAATACATACATACACACACACATGTCACATATATATATAATTAGTTGAGGTTATGCGATTGCAGCGGCTACAGCGCTGTCGTCGAGATTTTGCTTTAGCGATCCGGAAGCGTACGCCGGGCACTCCTCTGAGTTTTCGGTGCAACGAAGGACAGAAGCCACTTCAGGAAAGCGGTTTGAATCGGATGTGCCAAACTGAGGACACGTTTGTCTCCTCAACAAATAGTTTCATGCGACAAGAAGAGCCAGGGCCTTGAGCAGTACGTGCATTTGTCAATTGGTGAAATTGCGCTAGCTAAGCCAAGGTCAAGGGTGCAACGGCGGTGGAATCGATGCCGTTTGGAGCTATATCAAGCGCCGTGGATTGTTCCCAGAGCATCTTGGCTTCGAGTTTGTTCTCCGCCTTGGGTGCGAGTTTGAAGCCGCCGTCTCGGTGTCAACCCGGTGAAAGACTCGAACAGGTCATGTGTCCCTTTCGCTGGTGCTGCAGCTGCGAAATGCGAGTCGTCCTGTGACCCTGCAAAAAAGCTGCAAGTCATAGACCATTGCCTTCTGGGCGGCGAGAAGAAGATCAAGTGACCCGGTATGAACATTGTTCCTGCGAGTGTGTGAGACGCGCTTAAGTTATACCCCCCCAGAAACTCCCATGTCACTTGAGATCATCTCCAACATCTACAGAATAGTGGGTTTCAAGTGGAAAACAATGAACCTAGAAAACAATGATGACCTAAGACTCATTTTCAGACATCTCCAAGATGGCCACACAATCATGACCTGGGAGTTCGAGAGAAAGTTTGAGAGTGAATAGAGGGCTTTTCCTATGTCACATGCTTTGGTGTCAGCTTTAGTCTTCCAGGTGCACACCCCAAAAAGGAAATGAACCAAATCATGTCTGAGAGGCCTATGTCATGTTGGATTGTTGCTGAATAAGATTTTTACACTTGTGCATGAGATAGCCCTTGGCCTGGATAACTTCTATGTCACCTTCATCTCACCTCACTTTTCCTAAGCTGTTTGACCTCAATATGAATATATATATGTATGTATGTATGTATGTATGTATGTATGTATGTATGTATGTAT